TTTATTTATTTGCTTGAAATTCGAATATCTTCTGACAGAGAACAATGGTTTTTTTATTCAATGTTTTGAAGTTTTTCAAGATCTACAAATGCTTGATTATATCATAGTTATGGAACTCGCATCTTTAGGAAGTCTTTGAATGCATTTGCAAGTCCATAAAATGACATGGGAAGATAAAATAAATGCTCTATTAGATATCAGCTCTGGACTTGATTCTTTGCACGGTAGCGACCTTATGCATCGAGATCTTCATCCAGGAAATCTTCTACATACTAAAAGTTTGCAAGAAAAATTTTTAATGTTTCGGATCTTGGTTTGTGCAAACCAGTAAGCCACAGTTCATTATCATCAGAAATTTATGGTATCTTACCTTACGTAGCTCCTGAAGTTCTTGTTGAAAAAAAATACACAAAAAAATCTGATATGTATTCCTTTGGCATTATGATGTGCCAGATCATGTCAGGTCTTCTACCAAATCATGACATTCCACATGATCGTGACTTGTAAAAAAATTTGTGATGGTTTGCGTCCAACAATTCTACCTGATATTCCAAAGTTAGTTACTCAGTTAATAATGCGTTGCTGGGATGCTCGGCCAGATGAAAGACTGACCTCTGAAGAATTGCATGCCATTCTTCATGAATGGAAACTGATCTCGAAAAAGATAAATCATCTGAGTTCACGGTATAAATTGCAAAGGCTAAAAGAAGAATATCAGATAATCTTGTATTCCCTGATGATGACAATAATTTACATCCTGAGACAATATATACCAGTAGTCTACTCAATTTTTTCAACCTTTTGTCACCAAGAAATGCTTCAAACTATAAAGAACAGCTTAAAAACCCATAAATTTCCAAAGGTTATTGTCAGTATTTTAGTATTATAACTATAAATTTATAACAGCATATTGTTATTGAATACTAACATTAATCTGTCTATTTAAGATTAGATTATTTTGAAGATATTCGAATTTCAAGCAAATAAATAAATGCTTTTTTAATTATAATGTTACTATTTATTCAATACAAACCCTAAATTAAATTTTCTTTATTTATATATGTTCATTTACTTCTATCACTATTAACATGCTTATTAAACAAAAATTTTTATTAGCATTTCATTATTAGAAATTTTATTAAATAAAAAAAAAAATATAGAATTAAAATTTTTTTGAAATAGTAATTTATAAATTTTTTTTTTTAAAAAAAATAGTATATTTGATTTTGTTATGTGAAATATCGATATGCGCATGTAACTTTGCAATTACATGGATTATACTAGAACTTTGGATTACCAT